TGACAACTTGTACTTCTCATTGTTGCAACAGGTCCACCTGTATCCTTAAACAACTGGTTTTTCCCCATCTCCTCCACAAGTTATACTGACATCAAATATAATAATCCCAGCCCCTATTTTTATTTTCTTAATGTACTTTGAGATAACGAAAATAAGCTGGGCACCAGTGGCTCACACCTGGGATATCAGCTACTCAGGAGGCTCAGGATCCTCAGATCTGAGCATCATGGCTCAAAACTATCCTGGAGAGGAAACTTTGTGAGACTCGTATGTCTAATTAATCGTCACAAAAGAAAAGCTGCAAGTCGAGCTGTGGCTCACATGGTAGAACACTAACCTTGCGCACAAATGCTCAGATACATTGCCCAGTATAGCTCCAGACCTAACCCCTCCCCTCCCCCCCCAAAAAAGGAACTAAAAATAATACCTTAAAAGGTGAGAGTAAAGCATTTAAATAAAACTATTGTGAAGTTTTTAATCTGGAATGGGAGGAGACCAATAGATAGAGTAAAATAAAAAGAGATCAAATATAATTTGCAAGCAAACTGTAATAAGGATGTATATTGCAACTCCAAAAGCAATCCCTAAAATACTTAAAGAGACATAACTAAAAGGGCAATAGAGAAGAAGGAACCCACCTCAATGTATTGGCCATATGTTAAAAAAAAATGACATCTCACATCATAGTCAATGGTAAAACCTAGAAAGCTCTTCCTTTAAGAATAGGAACAAGGGTGCCTATTGTAACTACTTCTATTAAAAGTTCTATTCAAAGGCCTAACCAGAACAATTAAACAAGAAAAAGGAATAAAAGACATCCAAATTGGAAAGGAAAAAAATAAAGTTATCTCTATTTTCAGGTAACATGATCTTCCATATAGAAAACCCTAAAAATTAACAAACCTGCTAAAACTAGTAGACATACTCATCCATTGCAGAACACAAAACAAGCATGCCAAACTCAGTCGTGTTTCTATGTGCTAATCATGAACAATCCAAATGCAACATGAAGAGAGCTGCATTACAGTTTCTCAGGTTATTTATGTTACCCAAATTAAAAGGAAAAGAATTGTGAAGCACCTTTTCCTCCCTGCATAAGTGTAATTTATATCTTCCACAGATACTGAGCAGGTCTTACCTGCCTAGCCAGTTTCATGATACTTAGATGGGAAACCAATAGATATCAAGAAGTCTGCTTTACCAAGCTCTGTGTGATGTCATCTCCACCTAAGTCATTCAATGTCATCAGAATATTTGAACCTCCATGTTGGAAAACTGATGAAACACTTCAATGACAGGGTCCTATTTTTTGCTGTGGTATAACAGCATTGGGATGTATAATCATAGCTGTAGCACATCCATCAAGTAAAGTCAAAGCAGATCCCTGCAGTAACGGAAGCAGAGTCACCAGTGGGTCGTGGATCAATAGGCAGATTTAGCTACTTGTCCCTGTGGACCCAGCATGGTCTGGCAAAGGATGCGCAGGCCTCAGAGTTCTGAATTCATACATTGTCATCTCATATTCTGCATGAACTCACATTCTTCTGGGAAAAGTGCTGGAGGAAGAGTGTGCTCTCAGTGAGCAAGGAAGTACCACCAAGAGCCCCTCAAGTGATTAGAGAAGGTGAAAAATGCTAATACTCTCTCCTAGAATGCTAAGACTATGCTGCATAAGGGATTGGAATCTAGATAAGTCATAAATATATGTTAATGAAACCAGTGGTTTGAAAAGTCTTAATGTTAGGTCCTGAGATTGTTAGCCACTAACTTCCTGTTCTTTCTTTCCCCCTTTCTGTCCCAACACAACCATGACTTCTTAAATTATTATATGATTCAATTTATACCAAACCCAAACAAATAAGCAAATCTAAATATGTAAGGAAAAATGTATAGTTCATAAACCTATTGACAAAAAAGTATAATTACAATAAAAGTCAATGGTTACCTTGGTTAGGGGGAAGGAGTTGGTAATTATGAAAAAGAGAAGGAAGTTTCTGGGATGTAGAATATATTTTATGTTTTTATTTAGATGGTGATTTTCATGACTTTTTATTTCATAACAAACATATCTCTACTTCCTTTACCAGAAGTCAATAAGAAGTCAATAAGAGAGTAAGAGTCACTAGGTATGATTTCTGTGGAATTTTTTTTAAGGATTTGACTCTTCTTAAGAGTGGACTCAGTAGGAACTTCTTTGTCCTCCTTGGTTTCAGATGATAATTGGAGCTCCAGGCATCACCTTGGACCACATAGTGATCTTCAAGGTAAAATTACACGCAAAAGACAATGAAAGGAAAAGCAAATGAACTCTGATTCCCTAGACTTTCCACTGCAGGATTTCTTTTACTTGATAAAGAAATAAACCTTCTTTCATTCAACTACATTGAGTTTTCTCTTAAATGCAGCCAAAATGTAGGTGTAGATAACACCATTGGT